CCTCACACTGACTTTGACAACACAACTTTAGCGGAAGCACCACAAGAAGGTCCTAAATCTCTTGAAGAGTTAGCCGACAAGGATGATAGCACATTGTCAGATCTTGTCTTGCCTACAGAAGTTCAGTCTTTAGATAAGTCCTCACAGAAAGAAGATTCACCAGTGTCAGATGTAAAATCACTTGAAGGAGAACAGCAGATTCATGACAAAACTGAAATTGATGTCCTTGAATCTAATTCTGAGCCCAAACTTGACAAACCTCCCACAGAGAAAATAATGACGTCCAAAGAGGATAGCATAGACGTCAAAGTTGATCACCCTAAGCCCGAAGAGCCTGAGCAATCAGGAAAAGGCTTATTTTCTGTGTTTGGTGGCTCCAGTGCAACCCCACAACAGACACCCTCTCAAACTGGATTATCAATACTCGGTGGCATTCTTCCAGGCTCATCTACTAAAGACACTCCTGGCACAGGGTTACTCTCAATGTTAGGTGGATCCAATTTACCATCTTCCCCTGGATCCAAAGACCCACCACTGTCCACCCCACAGGAGCCCCAGGGTAAAGGATTGTTCTCAATGTTTAGTGGACCTAGTAGTCAGCCACCATCTAGCCCAAGAGGTCCAACTGTTGGAGGTGTGCGGCCTAGAGGTCCTCCACCCAAAGAACCTCCAGGCAAAGGCCTGTTTTCCATGTTTGGTGCATCTGCACCTCAGCAACCACCCAGTCCCAGAGGTCAGCAAGGCGGTAGTGCCGCACCAAGAGGACCTTCCACTGGATCTTCTATATTTGGTGGCATTCTCCCAGGTTCCACTGCAAACAAAGATACCTCTGGTTCAGGTTTGTTTTCCAAGTTTGGAGGTCTTGGTGCCCAGCCCCAAGCTGGACCTAGAGTGCCCACGCATGGATCAACAGTTATACCACCAGAACCCAGAGGTTCAGAGCTCCCTGGAAAAGGATTGTTCTCTATGTTTGGTGGACAATCCCAGCAGGCACCAGAAGCACATCCTGCAGCTCCCAAACCACCTGAATCAGAGGGTGTTTTCAAAGTTTCCTCTGTGTTTTCGCTTGGTGGAAGTTCTGATGGTAACAAATCTAAAACTGGGTTTGGCCTGTTTGGAATGTCTTTTATGGAGGAAACCAAAACAGAGCCAGAAATAAGTGTAACTGTGAAGGAGGACATCATTTCAGAACAAGTGAAATCACCAGACAAGAAAGACTTTTCAGAGGAAGTTAAGAATAACATTGTTGAGGCCACGCAAAATGTCCCACCTGAGTCTATATCCACTCTAGTTGTTGAGGTGGAACAAAAAGTTCAAGATTCAAACTTGAACATCACTGAAAGAAATACTGAAAATTCTGCTCCCCCAACTGATCCATGCCAAGTTGACAAAGTAGACACAATAGAAGATCACTTATCTTGTGATGAAAACACAATGGCTTTGGTTGATGCTTCTATCACAGACAAACCAAGTGTCCCCAGTAATTTATGCGAGGAAGAGATACAACTGGATCAAAATTCTGCAAAACTAGTAAATGAGGAACAGTCAGACAACCAAAAAGAATCCAAAGAAATGAAAGATACAGTGAATGCTGAGAAAGAATTTTCTGAATCAGAAACAGATACACTTAAAAACACAGATCACAATACTGATTTAGAACTAAAAAGCCCATCAGAAAAAATTGATGATATAGAGATGCAAGAAAGTGTCTTAGACGATAAAGACAGAAACACAAGATCAGACATTACTGAAGTGGAACATGTCAGTGCTGCTGATGGAGGAGAGATCATACCTGAAGTAGAAAAACAAGCTGAGGAGCTGCTGAAAGTTGGACGTGAAGATGAAATGGCTGTTGCAGATGTGAAAGAATCAACTGAAGAGCCTTTGGAAGTTTCCTGTGAAGACAAAACAGCAACTGCGCATAAGGAAAATATTACGAAGGAACCTTTAAACGTTATTGCTGATGATCAAGCAGCTGTTGCACAAGTAGAAAAATGTACTGAAGAAATAACTGTAGATGATTCAGTGAAAGCAGATATGGAGAAACCTTCTTCAGAAACTGCAATGGGTGCACTTACAGAGATTTCAGTTTCAGAATCAGTAAATTCTGTTGAAGAAGACTTGAAGGCAACATCTGATGCGACTGCAAAGGAGCCAACTGAGACAAAATTACTGCTTAGAGAAGCCAGTATAGAAACGACACACGAATTAGAGAAACCTACTGATGTTGCAGTAGTTTCACTGAAAGATGAAGAGAACACTGTTGTTACCAAGTCGCCAGAAATTATGACATCTCAAGCTGTGGAGCCTCCAAAAGGTCCGTTATTGGGACCTGCTAGTCCTCTACCCAATCAACAGCCCAGGCCAGGTATGGCCAGGCCATCTGGCCCACCAGGACAAAGAATGGGAGCACCAAGAATGGGAGCACCAAGAATGGGAGGTCCACGAATGGGGGGACCAAGAATGCCAGGACCAAGACATCCAGGGCCACAGAAGCCCCCTGAAAGAGCTCCATTTTCTGGCTTTATGTCTATGTTTTCCACTCCAAATGCCCCAAGTAAACCATCAACTGTTGGCGGGTTTTTTTCAAGTTCACCTGGTTCGTTTTTTGGATCATCACCGGCTCCTAATCCGCCACAACAACAACAACAACAGCAACAACAGCAACAGCAGAAAAGCTTTTTTGGCCTCCCAAGTAGCATTGCCACAGAATCCCTTACGAATGACCTATTAGGTATATTCAAAGGCTCTGAGGCAACTAAATCTGAGGAACATCAACAGTCTGGCTCAGAGGCTAAACAAGGAGATACTTCTGCAAATGTTACAGTCTCTGAGAGCACTGAAAAGACTGATCCAGAGGGAACACCTTTACCTGGAGATGTGCATGTTAAAAGAACTGAGGAATCTGAGGTTCCTGAAAAAGGGTTAACAGAAGAGGCAGAACGAACGGACAAAACAGAGGAAGAAGAAAGTTCTTTGAAAGAATCCAACATGAAAACTGATCTCCCTGAGAAAAAAGCAGAGGATGATGAGTCTTCTGAACATTTAAGGTCTCCAGGTTCTGCAGTGCCTGACAAAGCTGAACCACCCCCAGCTCCTGAAAGCAAAGGCATTTTTGAATTGCCGGGTCTGTCTGCCTCCAAATTTGGTTTTATGTCTGTAGCTGCTGAAGGTACATCATCTATTGGATCCCTTTTCTCCACCACCTCATCTCCTGCCACTGGTGCAAAGGCACCACAGCCTCAACAGACAGAAGGCGGCATCTTTTCTGGTTTTAAAAGCCTTTCAGCCGGCATTTTCCAGGATGAAAAACCGACTGGAAAGGAAGAGACATCATCTGCTTCATCTGTGTTTGGTATGAAACTTGGCTCAATGTTTGGGAGCTCTGAGCCTCCTAAACCTGAATCCTCCACTCCTGTGATCACAGCCCAACCTCAGTCTCAAAGTCAAAAACCTACAGAGGAAGAAGGCGATCCAGAATCTGAGAAACTGTCCCCAGGTTCTGAAGAAACAGAAAGTGCAGATGCCAGTGATACAGAAGGACCAACTGGAACTTCAAAAACCGGAAGCTGTGACACACTGGCACAGTTACAGTCTGGTCTCCCTTCTCAGTCAGTTTCTTTAGCAGAAAGTTTGGATAAACCCCAGTTCAAGATCACGCCATGTGAGATTGATAATACTGTTGACACACAAGACACCAAGGATGCAGATTTGGATTCTGAGCAGCCGAAGGACCTGTTGACAAAGGAAGCTGCGAGAAGGCCAGTGGAATTTGTACAATAGACGGCAGTGTTGATTTCCCTGCACCTTTCCTGTTCTTTTCCCATTTGATGTATGTAGTCATTGTAGTTTCCTTTTCCCATCCTGCAATTTAACCTTAGCATATTTCTAGATTAAGATGATTACGTTCTTGTTTAGAATTTACCTATTAGCCTGCACACAACTACAAATACAAAGCAGTCAGTGAAAATCAGAAGTTTTCAGATTATACGTTTTTGTGATCGTGGCTATAATGAAAAGAAATGATCACATCTGCTTGGATGATGCATCTAATGTGTAAATGCAGAAGTGCTTTTCTGTACATATGGTGCCTAAGTAACAGCTTCCCTGACAGTGATGGAATTGCAGTGCACTGAGAAACCAGTGGTGTTTATTTATTAGCTTTTTGTTGTGAGGCATGTATAAAGCCCCCCCCCCCTCTCTGTCCCCTGCAGTCCTCTGAATTATTCTCCGAGCCTCGGCCAATTTGTTCAATATAAATCAGACGCTGATAGATTTATGATGGCGTGGCGATGCACACCGAGGAGGTTGGCTGGACGCTGGAATAAAAGGAGCAGTGAGAAGTAATTTGGCCGACACCCAAGACGACGTAAATCTTGCCAGTTAGAGCACAGAGCCCCTTTCCTCGTTAGCAGCCTCAGTCGTCCATCAGGTCTCTCCAGTTCAGTCAGCCACTTATGATTCTTATCAGCCAGGATAGTGTATCCTTGATGCTCTGACCTTATAGACTCTTATCAAGAGCTTGAATAATTTTTAATGCATATGTTAGTCGCACCTATAAATGCACGGTATTAGAAGGTGCATCTTGGCCACAAATCTTCAGGAAGACTATATGTATATAGATCTCCTAGTTCTGATGTCAATCCTCTCTTAATAAGATTTTTAGAGAAACTGACATCCAGCTTCGTTCAGCCCACGTTTTCCTTTCCTTCATTTGTGTTCACTTCCCTTTTTGATCCGATGATATGTTCCCTTTAACCCATAGTTTAACACCCAATTCTTGTTTTTGAAATGAATTGAACAGTTTCAATCCAAATCAAATTTTCTCAGTTGAAATTAAATCAAAGTAATTCTATGTTTATGAAAACACATGACTTCTTTTTTCTAATTCCCTAAAAAAATAATTGGAATAAAACGTTAAATCTTACAGTGTAGCATTACTTACATGTTGCTTTCCCAAACACCTCATTATTCTAAATAACAACCTCATTCACCTACAGCCCACCGGACAGCAGTCGGTTCGATTCATCAGGCAACCTCAGTCCGGTCAGCTCTCAGCTCAGCTCTGAACCTGAGGAACGCCCGTATCCAGAGTCCTGCCCCCCCAAAGCTCCTCATCCCCCTCTCCACAGCCAGCCGTCGACCTGGGACGAGGAAGAGGAGGAGGAGGAAGAGGATGAGAAAGAGCTGCATCCGCTCCCAGAGCCTGGTTCTAACAAAGTTTTAAAGGACTCTGCTGTCAAACCGATCCCGGACAACCATGACAACAAGACTCAGACTAAAGTCAGGTATGTTAAGACATCTACGTTTTTAAGTTGAAGAGGAAACACCTGGTAAAAAGCAAATAGATGGTGTCAAACGTCTTCCAGACATTAAAACATTGTTTAAAGACGAACTTGAAGAAAATGTAAATGTCGTTGCAGGTTTGAGGGAATTGATTTTTGATATCGATTGATGTTGGCCATCTTCTTGATCCTTTTCTCTTTCAGCCTATTGATCATCTCTCTGCATTATGTTTGACAGTTTCTTTGAAGACGGTCCTCCACCCTGTTCTCCATCCAAAGTCCGCTGGCTGAAAGCATACAACAAAGTGAGAGTACAGCTGCTCGAGGTAGGAAGAGTCGCTCACTGCCCACTCCAACTACATGCACACACACACACACACACACACACACGCACACACACACACGCACACACACACGCATACACACACACACACACACGCATACATACACACGCATACACACACACATACACTCATTACATATACCAATAAAGCCTATACATATAAGTCTGTGCACTCACAAGAAAATCAAGCCAAATCCCATTCACTGATATAAGTGCACATGAGCATTGCTGAATTTCTCCCTCTGCTCTCTTATGTGAAGATAGTCTCTCTCTCTCTCTCTCTCTCTCTCCCTCCCTCTCTCTCTCTCTCTTCCCCTCTGGGTTGGTTGAGTTTCCAGCCATGTTACAGCAATTTGCACTGATTTTGTGCTCCCTGGGGATTCCGGCTTTGATCTGGGAAACCCCTCTTTCAGCTTTGGTTTCCCTCAGATCTGGTTATCACTCTTCTGTTAACAGAAAGTTTTGCCTTCTAAGATTTGTCACAGCAAGTTAAAGCCATTCTTTAGTTTATAGAAGTTTATAGCAGTTTATAGAACCAAGCACCTGCGGGCGGTTTACAGTTGACTGGTGTTGGGGTCTTTTACAAGTATATGTGGCTTTTTTTGCTGGGTTTCTTCTCCCTTGTTAGTAGGGCTCTGTGTATGAATGTGTGTGACACATTTGCGCTGGACATCAGACAAAATGAAGGAATAATGAGGCAGCAGGTCTGAGGGGAGAAGGAAAGAGGGCACATCATGTTGAAGTGCCTTGTTTTGTGGGGTATTAGGATTAAACTGGGATTTGTAACACTGGCCTAATGAAGCTGAATGAGCCGCTACATGTGTTCGTAAATGCTGATGTCAAATGTTGTATTAATTTATGTTTGGTCATTTCATGTGTTGCTGCAGAATGAACTTTGACTCTTAGGTCAAAAAGACCACATGGTTTAGATGACGAAGAACAAGGACATTAAGCCAAACCAGGGGATTAAACCTTGGATCGAACTGGGACAATTTTTTTGTCTCTTTTGTCACATACCTGCACCATAGTTGTTATTACCCTTGCAGAAGAGGTTCTGTTTCATCCACCTTGCTGAAGTGTCCTTGAGCAAGACACTGAATCCTGACCTACCCGGAAGGGGGCTCAGAGAAATGAGAGCGTATCTACAGGGACCAATAAAGTTTTAAATGATTGATGACTCAGCTGCTGAGCACGACTCTGTCTGCTTAAACGAGTCTGATGGGCTGTCAATCATGAATCTCATCCCTCTGTCGAAACAACTCGAAGGACAAACGGCTGCTGTGATGCGGCAGCGTCCGATAGTTTGAGTTCTGAGGCACCTGTTTGAATCAGAACACAAATGAATCGAACTCAGGAGGGGGGTTGAGTTCCTGATACAGATTTTTTGTGAAATGAAAAGTTGGAGGAGGTTGACCAATCACAACAGTGAGTGGACCAGCTGGCCAATCAGAGCAGACTAGGCCTCATCAGGAGGGGGGGGGGGGGTCTTAAAGAGACAGGAGCTAAAACCAAGTGTTTCCACAGGTGGGTCCTCGAGCCTAAAGTGATTATGCAATAAACCCAACTTTATTCTAAACCCAAACTAAAATCACTGCTATTTCCTTTCCTTATAACTTTCTTTAAATTCATCACTTTTCTTTTACCTTTAAATCCTACGATTTAATAAGAGAGTAATGTCAAATTAATTCTAATCTAAACTCTATCGCTGATTTTCCAGATTTAAATTTAAAATGTGTCTCATAATATTGTTAACACGACCCACACAACTTTCTATCTGATCACTCAGTCAGTCTTAGTACATAAACAACTTCTTCACTGTCTGAAAAGGTACATTTTATACATTTATATTTCTTTTCCGAAAACTCTCCACAAATGACTTTTCTGCAACAAGATCTTATTGCAATCTAACATGAAAAATTCAGCATGAGGAGTAATGACTTTCTTTCCTTTCCTCCATTTGTCGGCATCAATCATTACAAGGTTGTCTGATGTTCGTGGCCTCGTTTTAAAAACGACATACAGTAAAAAAGAATCAACACAGCCGTCAGTGTTTCTGACATTTAGAAGGAGGAGGATGAATCCACTGGTCAGCAGTTATCCCCAGAAAGACCAAAATAGTCTTTTTGTCTCTGTAGCGAACGTTGTGCCATGGCAACGATGTCACATTTCTATGGAAACACAACCTTACATTACTGTGTGATTAAGGTGCCATCGCTGTAGCTGCTGGAAGGTGTGTGTGTGTCTGCACTGGAGGAGAACATGTAAATCAAACAAAATAGTGAATAATTCAGGGGGAAATTTTGATGCAACTGGATTTCTGCTACGCAATTTAGTGAATACATATAAGGAAGATAAATTGTTGGACTCAACATCAAGTGATGATGATCTGGTCCTTTTACTTTATAAAAAGTAAACTTCTTAGTACCACAGCTGCTTCAGAACGTAGTTCTTTGGTTTCTCTCGTGGTTAAGTTGAGGAAGATCCCGTTCATTCCAGCTGTTTCCATGTGTTTCGGGAGTCTGGGTTGAATGTTGTTTAATCTAATATCAGATCCATTTAAAGACAAAAATAACTTGGAACAATAGCTAAACACAAATATATTAAATAAATCCACAAATTAACTTTACATGAGACTGGATAGAGGAGGAAGTTCTGATCTGTTAGATGTGTCCTTGTCTGAAGCTAAAACTCACAAAAAACTCAATTAAAGAATGCATTTCCATCAGCTTAATTGAATTGTAGGCAACAGTTGGTATGAGGTCTGTTCTCAGGTTTAACATGTGCATCTGCGACACTTTGATTCAAACATACTTTACCTCTGAGAAGAAAAGCTGATGTTCATTTGATGACTTGTATTCACAGATATAGTCTGGAACACTTTTCCTGTTTTAAATTAAAAATGTGTGGTGGGGGAGGCAGGGATTCAGATGCGGCTCTGCAAACAAATAAAGACGTCTTTCGAAGGTGCTGATATGAGAGTTTGTCCTAAATGAGCATCAGTACACTGTGTTTTTGTGGATGACAAACAACTCACTTTTTCAATTTTTATTTTTGAGGAAATTGTTGTGTAGGTAGGCAACTCATCCTTTGTCCTTGGAGATACTTTGCAGTGCCAGACACAAGCATTCATATTCACGGGGCAAACCAATGAGATGAGATCGCTGCACGGAGCGGGCGGATATCAAAACAAGTGCATGGCAGAGAACAGGAGGGGCGGCCAGAGAGGATTGTGGGAAGGGAAATGCTAGGAGAGGAGGAGGTTACAGTCACAACACAGACTCATTGATGCTGATGTGATTTTCATTTCCAATCATCAACACAGACAAATAGAGCCCCTCCTGAATCTATTTAACTTTTTTTCGGAAAGTCATAGAGACTCGGGCATTTCATGATTAATAAAGGGTAGGCTGCCACACAACCACACCGAATTTCAGCCCGTTTCGAGCAAGCAGCGCAGAGTTATTCACCCTATAGTGAATTTAGGGTTAGGGTTAGGGTTGTGATTAGGGTTAGGGTTAGGGTT